ATAAGCAATATATGTATACCATACAGTGCAGCATACAGAGTATGTCAGTTAGAAGTCATTACATACTCTGGATGCACCCACAGTACACAGAATACAGACAGGGCTACTATTAGAAACCACGGGGCCCCATACAGCCAACCAGACAGGGACCCCCGCCCCCACACACACACACACAAAAACACAGTTTACTATGCTTCAGTTATGAATGAACACAGTGAGTGATCAGCACCAATCACTCATTTGGGTTAGTTCAGGAATGGAAGGGGCTGGTAAATGTGACATATTTACTGGACCCTTCCCCCACTATCCATCCTGAAGGATCCTATTGTGTGCTTGTAGCTGCTGGTGGGAAAGAGAGGAGGGAAGCTGGCAGCACTGAAGGAGTGGGATCGCACAGGGGGCCTGGGCACAGGGGTGCACAGGGAGGGTTTTTGGGTACGAGGGGGGGGCTGTTACTGTAATAAGAGCCCCTGTATTGCTCTTCTTTCCGCAGCAGCTAAAAACCGGGGAGGAGGAGGAGGAGAAGCCAGCTTCCAGCTACTGCAGAGAGAGCCATACAGGGGATCAGTTCCAGTAATAGCCCCACCATCACACCCATCACCCTCCCTGCCCACATCCAATTCACCCACCTGCCTGGGCCTCCCGGCTGGCCTGGGCCCCGTACTGGAGGACTGGTGGTACCCCCTTATCCATGGCCCTGAGAACAGAGGTGTACTTAACCCAGAACTGCAGTTGATGATTGTCATAATCCTCCTCCCTTCAGCAAGAATCTTCCCTTCTCAGCCCTAACCAAACCCCCTCCAGCAAAATCCCCCCACCCAGGGGCGTGCTGACCATTCAAGCACTCGGGCACTGCCCGAGGGCCCAGGGTCAGTAGGGGGCCCCATGAGATGCCCCTGGTACCTTTCATTGGCTTTTTCATAGGCTTTTTTGGGTGTGGGTGAGGACACAGGGGCCCCATGATCCCCTATTGCCCGGGGGCCCCATGAGTTGTCAGTCCGCCCCTGCCCCCACCTCTAGAAAATTATCTCCAGCAAACCCCCAAATGCAAATCCCCTGACATAATGTCTCCTCTCTGTAAAGCAAGCCCCCTCTTGTCTTAAGCAGCCCATCTCTATATTTCTCATAGTCCTAATTTCCGAAGTGAACTAGCTGTATCCTGTTTGCATGCCTGCTTACTAACACTTTTACTCTCTCACCGTAATCCACATCTCATACACAGGTGACTTCAATCCCGCACTGAGACTCAGGAAATCCCATTAGAATCAGTGATGAATTCATACACTCTGTTATTTATGGATCTTTTCCAGTGATAAGTCGGAAAATCTTCAGTGTAATGGAAGCAGCTTTGAATCTGATTCATTGACCTGAGCTCCCCTTTACTCCACATCGTATTTCATTTCTGACTTCCAAAGCAATCTGAGCACTGAAATAGCCTATCCATTAATATGTTAACGAAGTGCCAACAAGATTTTGATTTGCATTTAGAATGGACAAAAGGAAATGAAATGGATTCTCTGAGATGTCCCTGTGCAGCTTCAGAAGTTAATATTGGGAAATCCAGCATTAAGTGGTTTGTCTTTCTTTAACAGTGCCACAGAGTGTGTCTCTGGGCTCTGGCGGAGGCCTGGAGGAATGTACATAATGCTTATTGAGTGTCTTGCACTAGTGATTTGACACATTAGGATTCCTATTAATGGAGGGGACTGTAGAACAGTAATGCAGCATGTACCAGTACACTGAACAACTAATAATGATGTGTACTGATTGCTGGGTGATACCAAATTCACTTATCTTCTTTCTACTCCATTTCATTTTCTTTAATCAATTGCCTCTTGCTGTCTTTAGGCTAAACAGACTAATCTCTCACTGAGAATGATGGTGGGTGAGACATCTGTCTATTGTACCTGTATCCAGAGCCCCATAGGGACCTCATTTTTTTTCCTAGTCTCAGCCAGAGCTGAATGTGTTTTATGGATAATAAGTGGTTCTTACTTTTTTCTTTAAAGAAACAGGGGACAACTTCTAATGGCAGTTTGGTCCTTCTTCACCCCTCTGGCACACCAATAGCTTTTTCTGCTGAAGAAAGGGTGGGCCCTATAACTTGGATGGAGGATAGGGCAGCTATAATATTTCAGGCTTGTATGATCTAAAACCTACCCCTAACCAGGGCCAGACTGACAACTCATGGGACCCCCGGGCAATAGGGGATCATGGGGCCCCTGTGTCCTTGCCCAAACTGAAAAAAGCCTATGAAAAAGGTACCAGGGGCATATCATGGGGCCCCCTACTCACCCCGGGCCCTCGGGCGGTGCCCGAGTTTCCAAATGGTCAGTCCACCCCTGCCCCTAACATTGATGGTCAGGCACTGTAGCTGGCTGTATTCTTCACCTATAGCAACTCCCTTTCCCATAAGGCAAGCAGGCCTAACAGTATTCAGTTGTTCACTTATAAGCTGATGGAAAGGAGGGGTTCACAGAAGAAAAAGTGGAACGGACAGCTTGTTTTAGGAAATCATTTCCTCGAAGCCAGGGTGCTGGGAAGAGCCGGAACCAGAAGTGATGCGAGAGCCGCGGGACTGCTGTACCTGTTAATGCCTATGGAATATCTTTATATGATGGGGAGCGCATCTTTTAAAGGGCCAGTCACCCGAAAAAGGTTTGCCAGTGAGTGACCTTTGGATGGAGAACTACAACTGAGGGGAGTCTAGAAGGAAGAGAGGAGGTGATTAAAGGACCCCCAATAAAGTTAAACAAGCGATTGTGACCTGTAAGAGGGCAGCTCAAAAACTATTTAGGAGGTGGTGAACTTTCACCACAGAAGAGAATAAAGTGGCACATTTCATGAAGGAAGATACACACAATTTATGGACCGTGGACACTATATGATATTGCATTGTTGAAAATTAGGATATTATTTATTTGGTGATGAATTTTGGTGCATGATCAGAGGGAGTTGCAGCATTTATGTTTTTGGGTTTTTTACAATTATTGTGGGACCACTTTATTGTTTGCAGCCACTCCCAGGTTAGGCTTCGGTATTATTTATATTTTATAATACAGTGGTTTATTTAATCACATATTTCATAGGTGGTGTGGGATGCACATATTTTTCAAATTCTTGGATACACAATGCTATAGTTTAAATAAAGGAATGCGCTAAAACCACAAACTATTCCTAATTTAGTGTAGAAACATTAGTGCAAAAGATATATATATCTATTCTCAATTAATATAAAAAAATATCAAAATTATGTGCAAAACTATTTTTTAGTGCATAAGTAATTTAAATAATTAAATTTGTGATTTAAATAATTAAATTTGAGACCGCCCCTTGAAGACGTCATTCATGACAAAACTAGTAGGGCTTGGCTTGCTGGATGCTGACGTCTGTGGAGAGGATTGAGTCACGAGCGTTGTAGTGAGTGTGCGGGGAGCAGGAGACTGTCATACCATTTGCTGTTTTATGCTGTTATACTGGTGTCGGTGAAGACACCCTTTTTGTGAGTGTAAATCTTTATTAAATTGTTGGATACTTTTATAAAAAAAACTGGCTGCACCATGATTTTTTCTTTCATTCCCAAACATGACCTCGGTGGAGAGATATAAAAAGAGAGAGTGATATAATGCTCCTGGAACCATTATATTGAGTGGTGGATACCTACCTTATGGATGATTGTGTAGCTATTGATCATCACACCTGAGAAGTTGATTTATTGCATCTGCTCCCAGAGCAAAAAGCGTTTTTTGCTGATCTAGAGATTGATCAGCATGGAGCTCTGGTGAGTTACCCAACTTTACTTTGGTGGTGGATTTTGGCACAATTTCTTTGAGAGCACCTGAATTTGAAAAGGATTTGTTTGGACATTTGAAGAAATTCAAAATTGGACAATTTTTATATTCACAAATTTAATTATTTAAATTACTTATGCACTAAAAAATAGTTTTGCACATAATTTTGATTTTTTTTATATTAATTGAGAACATATATATATATCTTTTGCACTAATGTTTCTACACTAAATTAGGAATAGTTTGTGGTTTTAGCGCATTCCTTTATTTAAGTTATAGCACTAAGAAATGTATTTGGTTTCTTTGAGGTGGAATTGCTGCTTTAAAGTATTAAGGGTGTGGCGCTTTTATTACACTTGTGACACAATGCTATAGTGTCTGGCGACCACATCAGGATAGGCGCAAGCTAATCAAGGCAAACAGGTACTTGGGGTTGGCAGACAGACAGAGTGGTCCAATGGCAGTTCAGGTTCAGGGCAGGCAATGTACAGAGAGGTATTTAGGCTCAAATCCACGATCAAAAGGCAGGCTGAGTTCAGAGAGAAGTCCAAAGTCAAATCTGAGGTCAATAACAAGGAAATACAAACTAGCTGACAAGACAGATATCAGGTAAAGGCCAGGGAATGGGAACAAGGGAGGCAAATAGGGAGCTTAAAGTAGATGTTGCAAACACTACCGCAAGCATGACACTAAGGGCTTGGCAGACTTAGAACAGGTTTGGACTCCACACAGAGGCTGTGTCTACATCAAACACTTTGCAAAATGACAAACAGACAGTGAGAGTGTAGCTCAGCCAAAAGCAGGATGTTGGAATGAGATCAGCAGCTGCCATGGAAAAGGAGAGTTACATGATCCTGACAAACTGCTAGATCTTTTTTAAAGGATAACAGTGCACCCTCTAAAGTCTTATTTTCACCTGTCCTTGCTCCTGTCAGTTTTTCACTGTATAGCCCACTCTGATCCACTGCGGGAAAGCATCCATGCTTGACGACATTGCATATGTGTACAAAATCTTATTCCTATAGAGATGCCATCTATTGTGGTATACCAAATAACTAGGTAAAGTATCTGAGCATATACACTATTTACTTTGGTAACTCAAAGTAAACTTTCTTTTTATCTTCCACTCCCTTCTTCCTTTCTATATTTCCTTCTAGTGGCAGTGGGTGAAATGCATAGTTGCAAGGTAACAGCCAGGGGCGGACTGACAACTCATGGGGCCCCTGGGCAATAGGTGATCATGGGGCCCCTGTGTCCTTGCCCAAACTCAAAAAAAGCCTATGAAAAAGGTACCAGGGGCATCTCATGGGGCCCCCTACTGACCCCCGGCCCTTGGGCGGTGCCCGAGTTTCCAATGGTCAGTCCGCCCTTGCTAACAGCACAGCAGTGCAGGAATTGTCATGCAACAGCAAGGGAAGAATTTGCTGTACAAAAGCATTTAAACAGAAAATTATAATTTCTAAACGCTTTTTCAATGTGTAAATGGAATTTAGAGCAGCGGAATTTCACTCAAAAGGGGAAGTTCCGCTTGTTTGCCTCCTTACCTTCTCCGCTGTCACATTTGGCACTTTTTTGGGGGGGGAGCGGGTACCCGGTTTTGCCAGATACCCGCTCCCACTTCTGGGCAGATGCGCCATGGTGATCTGAGCGTGAAGTCCAGCCCGACACCTTCCCCCACAACCTTCTGGAATACTTCACAGGTCCCAGAAGACTGTGGGACCATTCACAATGCACAGCATGCTTTTCACATGTGCAGCAGGAAAGCGGCTGTGAAGCCACAAGGTTTCACTTCCAGTTTCCCTTACTGAAATGCCAGCACCTGCACTCGAAGCCAATTGAAGAATCGACTTGGGTGAAGACATCGATGGATCCCTGGACAGGTAAGCGTCCTTATATTAAAAGTCTTTGTAGCTGCTGACTTTTAATTTTTTGAGGGGAGCCTGGAGCTTTGCTTTGAAGTAAAGGTGAAATAAAGTCTTCACTCCCAATCTCAGAAGATATATACTCTACATTTTTTTAAATGAAACTTGTATTGAGAAATAAATAATGCTGCCATTGTAGATGTGCTGAAATGCCTGGCTGTCTTTGATTGTAATATGTCCTGAGTTACAGTCCTGGAACAAGCATTCAGGTGAACTCAGAGTGCAATTAGCTTCACTATACTTTAAGTACCGTATTTTCTGGCTGGCATATAAGGCAACTGGGTGTATAAGGCGACCCCCTAATTTTCCAGTTAAAACATAGGTTTTGGGCTATACTCACCATATAAGACTACCCCCCTTCCGAGGCAACACCATTTAAAAACATCAGATTTTTTAATTGAAATGGTTATGACTTACCGGTACTTAAAATCCTTCAAATTCCTCATCATGTTTCATCCTCTGACATCATAAGTTCATGAATGACATCTTGTGATACATTTGTAAGACAGTCATCATATGGATCAAATTCCAAATCAGATGGTTACCGCTGGATGTGCGGTAATACGGTAGCTTCGGCTACATACAGTATACAGTATATATACAGCCCGCTGGATGTGCAGTAATGTACATACAGTATACCGCGCTGAGCCAAGCTGGCTCAAAACAAATGTCCCTATGACAGATTAATCTGTCAGCCCGCTGGATGTGCGGTATATACAGTATACTGAGCCAAGCTGTTTCAAAACGTACCGGTACGTCCCTACTGTAATCAGACCGCTGGATGTGTGTATGTACGGTAGCTGAGGCTACATATAGTATATGCTGGGCCAATCACGGCGAGTGATGTATTCTACTAATGAATACAAAGCCTGCTCGGATTGGCTGAGGTTGTGACATCATCAGCCCACCTCTCTGACTCAGCCAATCCGAGCAGGCTTTGTATTCATAGTAGAATACATCACTCACCGTGATTGGCCCAGTGTATACTGTATGTAGCCGCAGCTACCGTACATACACGCATCCAGCGGGTTGATTACAGTAGGGACGTACCGGTACGTTTTGAAAACGCTTGGCTCAGCACGGTATACTGTATGTACAGTATTACCACACATGCAGCCAGCTTGACCCAAACAAACTCAAGGTTCACATTTTTTATACCCCGCATATAAGACGACCCCCAATTTTTGGGGTATTTTTTAAGTATAAAAAGTAGTCTTATATGCCAGAAAATACTGTATATCTAAAGGCAAACTTTTTTCCCATTTTGAATAGTGAAAGGATGTTGGTTTTATCCTGCTCTCTGTTTCCTGTTCAAGATTTCTCTACACATCCTGTCCTGTTGACACAACAGAAAGTGAGAAAATTTCTCCAAGGTGGGGTAAATCCCCTTTCAGTCCATTGTCACTAGAGCAGGTGTCCCCTATTAGAACATTCTGCTCAGGTGGCAGCTCAAAATTTTAGATTTTTCTCACTTTTTTTTTACAATTATTTTATTGCTTTTTCACATTACAATAGTAGGTGACAAGAATATTCCAGTGTACTGTGTTATAATGCAGGGCATCTGAACAATATATCTCGAGAGGCCAATATCAAGGAAGAAGTACCTCTCCATATCAGTAATACAATGCAATAAATACTCAGTACATAAAGATAACTAAGTGACTTTGCAGTCTAGGTCCTAGGCCATTCATGTGTGGTGGGTAGTTATATACGTCATAGTATTTCCCAGCCCTTTTTAATCTCAGTGATACTGGTCATCAGGACCAATAGAGAAGCTACTTTAACATACTACTCATCATCATGGCATACATTTTCATGCCTGTTCATAAAAATAAGGCCACAATATTGAGCCTCAGAACATCACAAAAAGATCTTCATGACTAGAGGAAAGCTGGTTGAATGAGTTTGACAGGTCAAATGGCTGGGTTCTCCTTTCAGCTTTTTTTTTTTTTCTAAATTCCCATTAATTGTTATGTACTCTGAAGCCAGTTAAGCTACAATATACTTTTCTAAAGGGAAAATGTGCAATAGTCTATTTTTATAGCAGCTTTATTAGCATTGTAAGGACTATAGTATTGTTTTATGAATGTGGCCTACTATCTGTCACTATATTCTACAACACAGCTACTAACTACAGCTTAGATATTTCCTTTATGTTTGGCTCTGTGCCTTGACCTATTAGATCCCTTCTCAAAAATACCCATTTCTCTTTTGCATGTAATAGTGTATGTGTTTTGTAGCAGTTTTCCATAAAGTATTATTGTCATAAAGTCTGCTTTACTCACTGAAATGGCACAACTGAAATAAATAGAGTAGCTGGATGATGTTTTATTACATTCTTGCTGTAAATATATTGCTCCTTTCTCAGAAATTAAGATGTGAGAGAAATGTATTGCTAAGAAGAATAATGGATATGGACTTTCAAGGTTATTAGAATAATTAAAGACTTAGTTTTAATAATATTGTTAGCTAACAAAGTAGTTGTCACTGAAATCAAGACAATCTGGTGATATTAAATGGGTGGCAATACTGAGTCACTGGTGGATTTCATTACACAATTAACATACACAATAAGTGCAGCAGAAATATATACCAATCAGCCATAATTTTATCACCACCCACCTATTATTGAGTAGGTCCCCCTTTTGCTTCCAAAACAGCCCTGGCCTGTTGAGGAATGGATGCCACTGGACCTCTGAAGATATCCCATGGAATCTGGCAAAAAATTAGAATTAAACCCAAAGCCAAAAAAAAAATGTCATATATTGTAGCTTAAAGATAAACAAAAAAAATGTCAAATCATGTAAATATAAAGCAGCCGCGGTCAAGGTCCAAAACAACCCTAATGCACCCAATGTGTGAAAGATAAGCTGCAAACACCAAATATAGGATACCCTACAACTAAACCATACATATTTAAAGTGCCCCTGATGACATCATTTCTGATGAAACGCGTAGGGATGAAATGCAGGTTGTAACTTCACCACACACGTGTGTTTACTGCTACTTGGAATTCTAGGAGTTGTAGTTTCATGAATCGTGCTATACACAGTAAAGCTTTCTTTGTAAGTGTTTTTAATTGAGGTAAATAAAACAGTTATCTTGAATTCTACACTATTGCAAGCATGGCGCTCTACCTTTGTTTTCCTTCATACATGTGATGTGACTGCTGGAGGTTTACAGGAGAGGAGAGTGGAGGACATTCCAAAGTGACCACGGGGCTTTTTATATACAAAGTGTTATCTGACGTCTCAGGTTGAGAGTCACATAGTTTCTGGTAAGGCTTCCATGGATCACAAGGTGGATGGACACTTGTTTGATCTCACTGTACATCACATGTGTTTTTTGGCCTTTGGATCAAATGGACCTATGTTTTAAGACACTTTATTATTGCACTTTATCTACAGTGGAGATCGAAAGTTTGGGCACCCCAGCTAAAAATTTGTATTAATGTGCATAAAGAAGCCAAGAAAGGATGGAAAAATCTCCAAAAGGCATCAAATTACAGATTAGACATTCTTATAATATGCCAACAAAAGTTAGATTTTATTTTCATCATTTACACTTTCAAAATAACAGAAAACAAAAAAAATGGCGTCTGCAAAAGTTTGGGCACCCTGCAGAATGTATAGCATGCACTGCCCCCTTTGCCAAGCTGAGACCTGCCAGTGTCATGGATTGTTCTCAATCATCGTCTGGGAAGACCAGGTGATGTCAATCTCAAAGGTTTTAAATGCCCAGACTCATCTGACCTTGCCCCAACAATCAGCACCATGGGTTCTTCTAAGCAGTTGTCTAGAAAACTGAAACTGAAAATAGTTGACGCTCACAAAGCTGGAGAAGGCTATAAGAAGATAGCAAAGCATGTTTACAGCAAAACAGCAATCAGGAGTCAGAGCAGCTTGCCTTATATTCTGATAAACAATATAAATGTAAAGAGAGCTAAAAGGCCACACTAAGTGTCAGAATGTGAAATGTAAACCCTGTGAATGAATCATGATTTAAAAATGAAATCCTCAATGAATAAAAAAAATTGCATCATAACGCATGTGAAAATATCTTTGTGCAATACGTAGCATGCAAGTAAACAGTGTTGAAAATATGTAAATAAAGTCCAACAAACATTTTAAATATGTAAATATACCCCCCAAAAAATAAATAAGTAAAAAGTAAGCAAATATAAAAAAGTCCAAAATGTACATTTGCCACAATGAAAAATGTCCACACTTCCAAGTGAAGATCCTATTCAAGCAAAAAGGTACTCAAAATCGACATCCCTCCCAGTGAAATATGGTCCTGGTGCCCCAGTGAAAAAAAAAACCAGAGTGCCATGATCTTCAGTTACAGAGTGGTCATGATAGGCATAAGGAATTGACCCTCCAGGCAAGGTCCCTCCTGACACCTCCAGGCATCATCATGCATGTCGGCTTTGCTGATCGAAACTGCCAACTTGAAGTTGAGGTTCAGGCATATTCTATTGGCCCCATTTATTGGCAACAAAGAATGGATAGGGAACATGACACCAAAAAATTAAAAACTGCTGATTTTTTTCATGATCCATAAAAACAACAAAAGAGGCCTTGACCTTGATGCTGGCCAACCATGGTTTTGCCCCCAAACATATTTGGATACCATGGGGAATTTCAATTTCCTTAGCAAACTCTGGATGAGAAGAAACATTTTTGTGCATTGTCCACATAAAGAAAGGGGGTGGTGAGGTTGCTGATCTCCTTCCAAATTATCTTTAGTATGACAGGGTGTTTATACATGTCCAGGGGTAGACTGACAACTCATGGGGCCCCGGGGCAATAGGGGATCATGGGGCCCCTGTGTCCTTGCCCAAACTCAAAAAAGCCTATGAAAAAGGTACCAGGGGCATCTCATGGGGCCCCCTACTGACCCCGGGCCCTCGGGCAGTGCCTGAGTTTCCAAATGGTCAGTCCGCCCCTGCACATGTCTTATATGCCATTTGTCCCTTGCACCCACTACAGATCTGTAAGAGGACATCAGGGTGGCTTCCTCTATGAACCAAAAGCAATACCATTTCCGTGATGCCAGCTTTACGACTCTGCTCCCAAGGGTACATGCAAAGACTTCAGCATACTAGAATGTTATCATCCTAAAAAGTACTATAAGCACATTTTAATGAGTACATAGAAATGGAATTTAAATATTCCCTTTATATTTCCCCTTAGTCCTAATAATATCCTAGCAGTTACTCCTTCCACTCCCCACCCCCTGGCTATTGAAAACATAATAATTCCTTAACTGTTTTACAATGCTAACATGTATTTTGCCATGCTGATAAAGTTTATTTGAAATATATTGATAGAGAGAGAGAGAATAAGAGAAAGTAAGAGAGACAACAAGGAAGAGATCATGAACAAGAGAATGAAAATGAGATAGCAAGAATAGGAGAGAGTTTTGTTTTAGAATGTGGAGACAGTGGAGACAGTAAGAGAGAGGGTTTTGTTTAACCTCCCTGGCGGTATGATTCTTTCCGATTTTTTGTGCTGAAAGCGGTACCATTTGTTTGCATGGAAATATGTACCGTATTTTTCGCACCATAAGACGCACTTTTTTCCCCCCCAAAAAGGGGGGAAAATGTCAGTGCGTCTTATGGAGCGAATGTAAAGCGGCCGGTCCGGTATTTCTGCCGCCACCATGTCAGAATACCGGGCCGGCCGCTCAGCTGTTCTCCCCTGCAGGGCCTTACCTGTTCCTCGCTCCAGCGCTGCACAGTCTTCCCGCTCTGGCTTCTGTGACAGCCGGGTGCCCACTGCGCATGTGCTGCGCTTTGTGAATGATCCGGTGTCTTCTGGGACACATGAAAGGTCACAGAAGGCGCCGGGCCATTCACAAAGCGAAGCGCTTCTTGCACCTGCGCAGTGGGCACCCGGCTGTCACAGAAGCCGGCCCGGGAAGAAGAGGGAAGGCAACTCCGCGGAAGTGGGAGCGGGTACCTGTCAAATTCAGGTACCCGCTCCCCCTCCCTCCCCAAAGGTCAGCAGTCTCTGGTCATCCCCTTCACTGTCTGCAGTCTCTGGTCATTCCCTGCACTGTCCGCAGTCTCTGGTCATCCCCTGTACTGTCCGCAGTCTCTGGTCATCCCCTGTACTGTCTGCAGTCTCTGGTCATTCCCTGTACTGTCCGCAGTCTCTGGTCATTCCCTGCACTGTCCGCAGTCTCTGGTCATTCCCTGCACTGTCCGCAGTCTCTGGTCATTCCCTGCACTGTCCGCAGTCTCTGGTCATCCCCTGCACTGTCCGCAGTCTCTGGTCATTCCCTGCACTGTGTCCGCAGTCCTGGTCATCTCCTGTACTGTGTCCGCAGTCTCTGGTCATCTCCTGTACTGTGTCCGCAGTCTCTGGTCATCTCCTGTACTGTTTCTGCAGTCTCTGGTCATCTCCTGTACTATGTCCGCAGTCTCTTGGTCATCCCCTGTACTTTGTCCGCAGTCTCTGGTCATCTCCTGTACTATGTCTGCAGTCTCTGGTCATCTCCTGCACTGTGTCCGCAGTCTCTGGTCATCTCCTGTACTGTGTCCGCAGTCTCTGGTCATCCCCTGTACTATGTCTGCAGTCTCTTGTCATCTCCTGTACTGTGTCCGCAGTCTCTGGTCATCCCCTGTACTATGTCTGCAGTCCATTGGTTCAGAATATTTTTTTTTCTTGTTTTTCACCTCTAAAACCTAGGTGCGTCTTATGGTCAGGTGCGTCTTATGGAGCGAAAAATACGGTAGTTTTTTATTGTAGGCCTGTCATTTTTAGGAATAACTCACTGAAATCTGTACGAACAAGAGTCTATTAAACATCCCAAGGGTAGGATAAAATTTGAAACACGAAATCATAAATTATAATTTAATAAATAATCATAAAAAATAATAATATAATAATAATAAATTTAATTCAATAATATAATCAAACCAAAAACACTGAAATTTGAAATACAGAGGCAAATTCGCACATTGCTGAGCAAAGTCGCAAAATCGTTTTCAGTGTCTGATGATGAATTTCCCCCACGAATCATTATCACTCAATTCTGCAAGTGGTTCTGATTTACTATCGCTGTTCTAAAACCGCTTTTTGACGTAAAGGGACGCTTTTTTGGACGCCATGGACTTTTCTAAGTTCCAGGCAGAAAGAACATTCAAAATGCAGGCAGGGCACAGGACAAAGCAGTAGGGACAAAATATATGTGAAATGCATTGAAACAGCAATGACAGCAAAAAAATGAAATTTTTTTTAAAAATTCTTAATTTCCCACCGGTTCCGGCGCCCGTACGTCCCGACGTCACAGGGATACCGGAAAACACAGGAAAACTGGATGCCGGCATCGGCCGCAGGAGATGGCCCCGGGGACGCTGCAGGGGACACACATCGTGGGAGCGAAGGACAAGGTAAGTGCTGCAGGGACCCCCTGAGCAGCGCCGCATGGTAAGCTTCGAGTGTAGCTCGGGGTTACCGCTCTTGGTATAGAAATTTTACCCCCGAGCTACACTCGGGAAATACCGCTAAGGAGGTTAAAGTAGAACTGAATAAAATACTTCTTTTTTTTATTTTATTTTGGATAGCGTAAGGAGGGTTATGACCTTTGCCAGATTTTTTGTCATCTGTGTCCCCATTTGGAGATTTCCCTTCAACTTCCTTTACCATAGCTAAAACAGAAAGTGGGGGGGGAAAGAGGAATTCCTCCAAAAGGGTTGGTAATCAAGGGTGTCATTAGGGTCAAGTTCTCATTGGAAAATGTACGTCCTCTATTCTGTTCTGGTGTCAATCCAAAGTTTGGGATTTTCTTTTACTTTTATTTTAAAACTATACCGGTATACATGACATATAGAGATGGTGACTCTCCACAGGGGATAGGGGGGGGCATAAGGCAGCATAAAAAATGAAAAGAAGTTCTAATCTATCCCCACTCAAAACTAAACAAAAAAGTTTAGCATTTTAGTTATACTTTTAAAATATTTGACTATAATTTTAAACATAAGCTGATCACATAACCAGGGATAACCATGTCCAGTTATAGTGCACAGGTGTGCGTGTGTTTCACATTAAATATACCAATATTTTTACACTCATCCGGCCACTTTATTAGGTACACTGTTCATTTGCTTGGTAACACACAAACTGCTATCAGCAAATCACATGGCAGCAAGTCAATGCACTTTAGGGCATTATATATGTGGTGAAGGCAACTTACTGTGAAGTTCAAACTGAGCATCAGAATGGGGAAGAAGTGAGGATTTAAGTAACTTTGAAATCATGGTTATGGTTGTTGGTGCCAGATGGGCTTGGTCTGATGTATTTAAAAAAACTGTTGATCTACTGAGATTTCCCGCAAAACCATCTCTAGGCTTTACAGAGAGATGGTACCGAAAAGAGAAAATATCCAGTGAGTGGCAGTTGTGTGGATAAAACTGCCTTGCTGATGTCAGAGGTCAGAGGAGAATGGATGGGTAGGGTTTGAGATGATAGAAAGGCAACAGTAACTCAAATAGTACTTGATACAACTAGGGTATTCAGAATACCATCTCTGAATGCACGAAACAGGTCACACACCGCTCACCTTGAAGCAGATGGGCTATAGCAGTAGAGGACCACTCGGGTACCACTCCTGTTAGCTAAGAACAGTTATGGAGGCTACAATTCAATAAAATTGGGACACTTAGAGATTGGAAAAATGTTGCCTGATCTGATGAGTCTCAATTTCAGCTGCAATATTCAGGGTTGGTTAGGGTCAGAATTTGCATAATCAAAACATGAAGCATGGATTCATCCCACCAAGGCGGATTGACCCATTGGGAAACTCGGGACCCAGGGTCAAGTAGGGGCCCCATTTGGCGTAAGGACACAGGGGCCTCCATGATCCCCTATTGCCCCGGGGGACCCATGAGTTGTCAGTCCGCCCCTGAATCCCACTTTGTATCAACGCGGTTCATAGATGTGTAGCTGGACAAATCTGCAGCCTCTGTATGATGCTATCATGTCAATATGGACCAAAATCTCTGAGGAATGTTTCCAAAACCTTGTTGAATCTATGCCACAAAGAATTAAGGAAGTTCTGAAGGCAAAGGGGGTCCAACCGGATACTAGCAATGTGTACCTACTTAAGTGGCTGGTGAGTGTACAACTCAACTAAACACTAAACAAATAGATATTATAAATTCCCATTTCTTCACATAAAATTAATTTTCGTTGATACTCGCATCCTATCTCATTTTATTCTTACAATGTGTTCATTATTTCCTGCTAACTCTCCAAGTGTTTCCATGTACCCGTGATGCTGTTATATATGTCAGGTGTAAAAGTGATCAAAAAGTGCTTCCTTTTCAAGTTAGTTGGCAAGAAAAGCAATTAATCTTAAATTTGGGGTATTTTTCTATTTCTCCAAGCGCAAGACTAAACATCTTGATCGAAGCGGGGAGTATTAGTATGTATTTATTCTGGCAGTGCACTTCCCCAACTTGACTGGCCTCCGGGCTAAAATAGATGCAGTTTATTCAAAGGCCTGTCTCATTTATATAAACACAAACTTATTGCTGGATATTTGTTTTGCTGTTTCCTTTTCAAGACTGGAGGTTTTATCTTTTTTCTGTTGTACTTGGTTGTGGTATGAATATAGGTCACTTGGGTTAAAAATAACTTTTGCTTACTTTCTTTTAAGTCCGTAGGCATGCTTTTACCATGGAAATAGATAAATGATTCCCATGTTGGTGCATCCAAAATAACGTCAATTTACCCTGGCAGACAGAATTTCGAAGTTGGAAGATGTAAA